CTGCTTCTCCACCATGAATCCTGCCTCTCCCACCATAAATCCAGCCTCTCCCACCATGAATCCTGCCACTTCCACCATGAATCCCTGCCTCTTCCACCATGAATCCTTCCTCTCCCACCATAAATCCTGCCTCTCCCATCATAAATCCTGCCTCTCCCACCATGAATCCTGCCACTCCCACCATGAATCCTGCCTCCCCACCATGAATCCTGCCCTCCGAATAAATCCTGCCTCTTTCACCATAAATCCTGCCTCTCCCACCATGAATCCTGCCTCTCCCACCATGAATCCTGCCTCTCCCACTATAAATCCTGCCTCTCCCACAATAAATCCTGCTTCTCCCACCATAAATTCTGCCACACCCACCATAAATCCTGCATCTCCCACCATGAATCCTGCCATTCCCACCATAAATCCTGCCTCTCCCACCATGAATCCTGCCATTCCCACCATAAATCCTGCCTCTCCCACCATAAATCCTGCCTCTCCCACCATAAATCCTGCCACTCCCACCATAATTCCTGCCACACCCACCATGAATCCTGCCTCTCCCATCATAAATTCTGCCACACCCACCATGAATTCTGCCTCTCCCAGCACAAATCCTGCCTTTCCCACCATAAATATTGCCTCTCCCACCATGAATCCTAACTTCTCCCAACATAAATGGAACCTTTACATTCTGTAATAAAGTAATGACTGCAGTGTAACCACACACACCCCACCCCACACATATCCTATCACATCTTCTGAAGTCAATTTAGGATAGTACTTACAATGGCAAGATACTGAGTTGTGTTAAACAAATAAACACTAGTATGGCTAGTGCGCAAACCATGTATGAATTAAACATGTGATCTCGTACTTTAGAATACTGTAAAAAAATAAATAGAGAAATAGTATCAATTATATCAGGCAGGCGATGATTGCCCAAGGGTTTAATATCTAGAGCTTCCAATAAAGTAGGTCATGTGACAACCATGTGATGTGCCACTTTTCCGTAATGAGGCAATTATATTAATATCTTAACATGTAAACACACCTTGTCTTCAAGATCTTTTTTCCTGAATGCCAATGTAAACCTTTTCACATGTTCAGACCTTAATCTATCAATACTTCGAGCATCAATTGCACGGCCAAGGAATTCGTTGACCTCATCATCTGGGTCTTGTTTATCTTGATAATCACCCAATCCAAGTCTGAGTACAGGAGACGAGATATGACGATAAAACATTTAACAGTCAAGACGAGTTTTCTTGGTTCTTAATTAAAGCGGTGCCTTGTTTGTGCATCTGTTCAAATTGACCTTAGATCTGACTACTGTATGAGTGTAAATGTAAGTGGTCATATGTCTGGTTCTGTCACTGAATATAACATAATCAGATGTGTTGTATCTGCTTTCACTTGCCTCGCTAAACACATATATTACCTAATAATCCACAGTTATTAAAATTCTGTATTAGATCAATACTGTTTTATAATGTATAAAGTGACACTCTGTAATGTGTGTTTGCTTAGCTGGTATATAAATATGCATTTGTCCTAATTTTGTGGGCATCACGTCAGTTTCAGGAATTTTGAGGAACAAGTCATTGAAAATGAAACAGTCCCCGTTAAGTTCTCTTTGTGCTCGTCATATTAAAGCGGAGGGGTTGTCGCGAGCGTGTCCTTGAAACTTGAGTTCCAAGTGGTGTATACAACAGATTGTTTATTTACATCATAGTAATATGGCCAAAATAAAAACAGCCGTTATTCAGCCATCTTTGATCTGATTATGAAACACACTGATATGTATGATGTATGTGCCAAATACGAATGAAAATGGTACATAAATTGTGGAAATATAGTAGGCCAAAAAATCAGATGGCTGTCAATCAGCCATCCTTGACCAGATTTTGAAACAAATTGTCATGGACATGCATCCTAACATGTATAAAGTACATGTATGTGCCAAATTTGAATGAAAACTGACAGAGCATGTCAAAAATACAACATTTTCAAAAAACAAGATGGCTGCCAGTCGGCCATTTTGAATCGAATCGCTAAACCACTGCATGTGCATATGTCCCACATAAAGTACTAGGCACATGCAAAGAATGAACGGAATCGGTCCAAGGGATTCTGAGATATGACTCCGGACAGACGCACGGATGCACAGATGCACGGACGCACGGACGGACGAAGACCGAATTATAAGTCCCCGTTTTCGGACTTCGTCCGAACGGGGACTAATAAATTAAACACGGCTGCATAAAATAACTGTACCAAATGGAAGCATCAAGAGATCCTGTTATAATTTGCAAATCAAATGATTTTATTTAAATGACTGGATAAACATGTAACAAGTTTTGGGATACGAAATATAACTCATAGGAGTCGTCATATCTAGAATTTTAGTAGCTCAATTTCCTATCAAATAAATGAGTTTGAATTTAAGCAGTGACTGAACAGGTGTGGGAATTGATGAATTACGGGTAGTTTGTCACTCATGAAATGCAATTCAAATCAGATTTAAATTACGCTACAAACAATGTTAACTATTAGAAGATGGTAGAAAAACTAGCTGAATAATTGTTTTTACTTCAATAAATCTTGAGCTAGATTTTTTTGTTTAGACGATGTTGATGTAAATTTGTTCTCTGCTTTCCTTTATGTAATATTTTTTTGTTTTGTTTTTTTGTTTTTTTTAAGTTATGCAGTATTTTTTTATTCAAAATCTAGCATCTTCAATTCCAGAATGTTTAATGGTCAACTTCTAAATCTAATGACAGTTACACTCAGTAAAAAA